TAAATGTCTTGAAGTGGTAAATTTTAAAATGGAATTCACCATTTAACCATATATGTAAGTAGATGTAAACCGGGATAAATGGAACATAGGACCTATAAAACTGTATGAAAACGAATTCGCTTTCTTATCGGAATCAATATGGGTTCTATAGAACGTTTTTAATGGGGTTTTATAAATTTTGCAACCTAAATTCCCATCTCTAATAATGAGTGATGACGATGATGTTCTTCTAGCAAATGCGGTTTAACTGTTAAACGTTAATAGTATAATTTTTAACTTTGAAATTTCAAAAGAAATGTCAAATGTCTACTAAGAAGTCGTTCGACGCGTCCGCGAATATGTAAACTATGTAAAAACAGATTTTTTTAAATATGATTTGATTATAATTTATCTACCTTGACTAGATACCCTTCTATTTACTTTACTGACCAACCAAATTTAACTTTTTTCTACTAGGTGTAAAAAGAGCATACTTATTTGTATTTCTGTTTGAATATTTGATATACAGAACAGCTTTAAATCATAATAAAATATAAACAAAGTTATGCATAGGAACATAAATTAAAAAAATATATATGGGGAATTCCACGTAAATTCGACATAAAAAAACCCTTACTATTTCGAAATTCCTCAGTGTAGAAAATGGATTTTTAGCTGATATGCCACAGCATCAAAAATATTTCTTTCAAATAGCTTGTTTCAAGACAAGAAAAATGATTGGTCGTTGGTCGAACCAAAGTTATGATCGATGATATATTGACAAAATCGTTATATCCAATCATGAAAATTAGAAAAATAATATCTCCAAAAACAATTGATAAACCGTCCTAAAATTAAAATTGAATTTTTATTTTGAGTCAGGGAACCTATGGAAAAATTGCCGAGGAATTTCGAAATGGCAAGGGTTTTTTTCGTGTCGAATTCACGTGGAATTCCCCATATATAGTAGGGTGGATCGAAAAAAGGATTATTTCGGAATTTCAACTCTCGTAGGTGATAGAAAAATATGTTTCTCTGAATTACAAGATCGATGATTCTTTTAATGTCATCTGGCAAATGTCTCGTTGTTTGAAGTCAGTGTAGTCCAACAACACGTTCTTTGGGTGATAGAAATAGATGCTTCTCTGAATTACAGGATCGATAATTTTTTTGTCATCTGGCAAATGTCTCGTTGTTTCAACAAAATAAAAGATATGTTTCGGCCCATATTTTACTGACTGATATCTTTTAATATCAATCCAGACTGGGGCACATGTCTTAACAATGTAGTTTACAAGCATCTTAAGTTCATTTGCAGGATTTGTTTGAGAAATAAAAAACCGTAAGACACGGTTTGCACATGTCAGCCATCAGGAGTGAATAAGAGGTCCAGGATCTCTTTCAGCCAGATCTGGAGTACATTGTCCTATTTGAATTACTCTGACAATATTCAGAAGGTACTATTGGTCTTTACTAAGATTGGTTTTACTGACGTTAATTTCATATTTTCCAATTACTTCAAAATTTGCAACGGGTAATTTCGGTAAGTTTGCAGATTTTTCCAGAGAACGATGTTGGTCCTGCCGTCTGTTCTTTTAAGTATTGAACATCGCTGCAACGAGGTGTTATAACGTGTCAAGCCAAATAGCTACTGGCCAAAACTGTTGACAGAAAAAACAAAAGCAAGGTCATCCTCTTCCATTCACTTAATTCATACGTTTTAAACCTTTTTCGCGAACTCAAAAAGTACCACAATGCGTGTATTTGTAAGTTGATATAAATCCTACTTTTTACCTTAATTTTAGGCCTTTTGCTCAAACTTAAAGAATTGCTCATAGTTTTTAAATATAATTTTTCTTTTATCAAACGATTAAAACGAAGTTTTTAGATGCTATTAGGAGTCAAAAAAGTTTACCCGTATATTTTGAGCGTAAATGTAAAATTAGATGTTTATCCTTATTTTTAAAAACTTTAGGTCCTTTGTGCAAACTGAAGATTCAAAGTATGATTTTTTTTATTATTTTTCTTGGAGACTAATTTTTTTTGTAAACCCCTTATAGGTATTATATATTATATTATATTATGTATTATTTTATAATATTATATTGTGCGACTAGTGGGAGAAAGAGCAGATTACTCAAGCGTGGAGTTTGCCGCGAGTGGAATTTCCTCTTTTGACCGCACACAACATTTTATTCAAATATCGCAAGGAATTAAAAGCCAATTTTAAGCTGTTTTAACCTCTCCTTTAATTTTAACTTCAGCCCGCGGGCGAAATGCTATTTCAGCCACCGGTTAAAGTTAAAGAATGAAATGGTTGTTGATTAACAGGGCCGCCAAGAGAGTATAGGGGGCCTGGGGCAAATTTAATTCTTGACACAAAAGTTAAAAATTGAAAATTATAAAGTACACCTAGACAGTAGTAACAAATAGAGCCCGGATAAAAAGCTTAAAAAAACTGAAATAAGCGCTTAAAAAGCAGTTAATTTAAAAAAAAAAAGGCATAAAATAAACTTAAAAAATAATTAACCCTTTAACTGCCGGCAACGCGGCTACTGCGTTCTTGTGTATTTTACAATATGCCGAGCACGCGGGACCCGCGTTCTGTACGGTGGCATATAGCATTGTTTTTGTCGCTGGGTGCCGCCAACGCGTCTACCGCGTTTGTTTATTTGTTTTTTGTTGTAGTATTTTTTCATATAGAACCTTACGATAAGAAACGATAAACAACTTTTAGTCCATTTTTAGCTAAAATTTCCAAAAAAAAAACATCGGCACTGCAATATGGCCGGACTATTTCGTCGGCAGTGAACGTGTTAAAAATCCATATGCTTAGAAATCAATAAAAGGCAAATTTTTGTATACCTAATTTATTTATTTGTTTAATTAACATATCGCACATGGGCGACAATTGTTAACAGTGTCATAAGTCAAAAAAACTGAATTTTGGGTTTTTTAGTGGAATAAGTGTAAAATTACTCATAGTTCATACTGCAATAGTGGCATAAGATATTTTTGAAATTAATCCCTACATGAAGACTTGTGTCTGTCTGCAATTTGTATAATCCCTATCATAATTTTCATCAACAGTGTCATAAGTAAGTTGTGACAGTAATTTTGTTAACGTGAGTTAGTAAAATTACAATAAAATAATGAATAAGTCACCCTTCTCACCTTAAGACAATCGGTCATGTGTCATCGGGTCTCGTTTAACGCGTTCGCTTTCCTAGTGCTACCACCGCTATCGGTGTTCAAATTCATAAAATCAATTAATGATTTAACAAGTGATCTACCAGAACCAAGTGCAACCTCAACTTATAAAGAACTCCACCATAATTAGTCGCCAACAGTTTCTATAAGAACAGCAAGCATATCCAAAGAACTCATAAGTAAGGGATCACATACGCAGTTATTAATCACTCAAGTTCAGATAAACACTAGGCAAAAGAAACTCCTGTGGATAATTATTACTAAGCACATTTATGGGAAAAATAAATTACGTTCTAAGCGAAATAATAAACAACCGCACAGATCGGAATACGACTCGGACAAAGACACGGACACATACGAACAGTATGTCTTAAAGATCAGCAAGGATAGGTCCTAGCAGCATAAACGATGCTAGTATTCACCGTTAGTATACTAACCAACCAAGCCCTCTTTATGAACCCCAATTGAATAGGGTAATTACTAAATCCCTGGTTGAGGGGGACTCCTGATTGTACTTAATTTTGGGTCAGTTCAATATCCCTTAAAAACAAAAATGTTTTTCCTCCTTGTCCGCACTGCAATAGCCTAAATCGGGCGTATTGCTAGGCCCGGCAACAAAATTCCGGGAGTGGCCTTTATCATCCACGACCTACTGGGCGAGATTTACCAGCCGTGTTTAAGGCGTTGCCGATGGGGCCAGCCATACGTTCCTCATATTTCTATCAACAATAAAAGAATGAATAATTAAAACATTGATCAACACATTTTTAGCAATACAGACATATCTGCAAAATTCATGCACATATTTTCAGAAACACAGACATATCTCCAAAATTGATGCACACCTTCTCGGCAACACAGACATATCTACAAATAGCTCTTATCCAAAAAGAGTATTTTCTAAAATTTCACTTTTAACTGGCTCAGAATCTTAGTGTGGTTCTTCCTTTTTAAATAAAATACAGTAAGTTAATATTATTTTACAAATATGTGAGAATTTTATTATTCAAAAGTCTTGACGGTAAATTTTCTAAAATTTCACTTTTAACTGGCTCAGAATCTTAGTGTGGTTCTTCCTTTTTAAATAAAATACAGTAAGTTAATATTATTTTACAAATATGTGAGAATTTTATTATTCAAAAGTCTTGACGGTAAATTTCTCGGAATTAAGGTTTTACTACTTATGACACTGTTGTCGCCCATGTGCGATATATTTGATTGTAATTTAAACGAAAAGCATAATGCCTTGAAATCAATGATCTAATATTAAATAAAAATATTAGAAATTAATGAAAATAATTGCCTATATTGAAAAATAAAAGAAAACTGCTAAGCGATATGCTTTTATGACCTTCAAGCTTGATTTAATTTATAAAGGTACCATATTCTTTATTTTAAAATTACAGTACATAAAGTTTTCAAGGGTTGGTCGACTGCGACTGCACTGACGAGCAGACGAAACGCTGCAGTACTGCCTACCACGCCCCTCTAATACCACACAAAAACAAATCTGTCCAGGTAACTTAAAAATTCCACTTTATAATTTCACTTAATTATTTTTCCTAAAGGAGGAAAAATTTTATTTTGAACTATCAAGTTATTGTGGGTTTCATAGAAATATATTTTATTTTATATAAAATATTTTTAAAATTAAATTAAAAATATAATGTTAAATAAACATATTCATTGTTTTTAATTTTTAAATTATTTTTAAATCCAGGGGCCCCATGACGTTGGGGGCCTGTGAAAATGTGCCCCTTTTGCCCCCCCTTTCGGCTGCCCTTTTGATAAAACATTATTAAGTACCTTACCTCTTTTTGTCATATATATCATCTTCGGACTTTTTGTCGTTTTTAAAGACAGGATTTGCTCCTTCGACTGCATGTTGATTGGTGTTTGGTGCATTTACACCAAGCCTATTTAAATTTGACTCCGTGGATCCAAACTTGTTATCCGTTAATTTTTTGATCCTCTGTGATAATCTAAACATTTTTAATATATAAACATACAAAACGATAACAAGAATGTGTGCTCTTACTGTCTTGTTTTCAACACGAATGCAATCAAAAGAATCAAACAAAGAGCTGATAAAACAACAGATACTCCAATGAGCCAGGTTTTTAAAACACTAGTCAAGTCTTCTACATATGTTTCTGTTGGGAAACTTTGAAGTTGTATATTAAACGATCGCAGTTTGGTCTTTAGTTCTTTGAAAACTTGAACATCAGCTATCTTTCTAAAATATACATATGTTAAACAAAATTGGAAATTAAAAATATTTTTTTCCTATATTTACTTTAAAATGTCTTCTGCTAATAAAGCATTGTCTCCGTCGATAAGCCATACAGAAACCAAAATCAAATTTGATTCTTTGTCCTCGTCAATTGACGTGTATTGCGCTGTATATTTTAATGTTTCTGATATTTTATCCATAATCTAAAAATATCAAATAATATTATATTATTATAACAATACTGCACTGTTAACCGCGTATGTACAATATTAAGTAATAAAGGACAAAAGATCATTTTTTATAGTTAAAAACGATAAAAATTATATTTTGCCCTTCATTACTTAATATTTGACATATGGGGGTTTTGCTTAGCACTTCAAAATACTTCATACTCTTTGCAAAGAGTATGAAGTATTCTGAAGTGCTTCATCAGAGCCGATAGTGGTGAAAAAATAAAATGTAATTTATGCGATTTAGTAGGGATGTTTTGTCATATGCTTAAAATGGTGTATTATATTTGTTTGTGTCGAAAACCCATAAAAATTAAAATTTTAAGGTGTGATGTCATGCATACGTCAATACAGCACAATCCTATCCCGTCGGACGCCGATGGACTGCCAAACGACTGCCGCAGAAAATGGACGTCCCAATGACATCAATATACTGCCGAATAAGGTCCAAATGTTCTTCATTCGTACTTTGTAATATAATGGACATTTGGACCTTATTCGGCATTTTATCGATGTGCATTTGAATGATTGACGTTTGAACGTCATATGGACTGCGGCAGTCGTTCGGCAGCCTTTAGGCGACCGAGATCCTTGTGCTGTATGGGACCAAGGTAACTCCACCCGTTTAACGCGTTAACGTGAGAGTTTTGTAACCATATTTTGCATTTTGAATGTATAACAAAAGTATGTAAAAGAAACGAAAAATTATAAAAAATATATTTTGGGACTAAATTGCCAACAATATTACCTATATCCCCTGTTGTGCGGCATTATTCGGTAAATAATATAATACTTAACAATTATTGCCATTAATTAACACGTTAACCGCCATGTGTATGATTTTGTATACACGCACAATACAATTATTTTAGCCATGTGTATGATTTTGTATACACGCACAATACAATTATTTTAGCCATGTGTATGTGAAAGAAGAATGCATAACATGGGTTTTATATGTTAAATGATCGTCGTGGAGTTATGTACACCGGTAGAGACTTAGCCGACATTTTTTGTTTAACATTTTTAAGATGACAAACCCTTCATTCAAAAGTATGTTTGTCAAAAATCGAGGCAATAATTAAGTTTGTGCGTAATAAAAATGTCGATGAGAAAAATGATAAAAACATTTTATTTCCATTGAGCCAATGAAAAAATAACAATAAACAATTAACAAAATAATGCTGGACAAAAAATGGTAATAATAACAAATATTTATTTCTTCTGTTATGTTGCTTATTGCATATACCTATACGGTATAATAAGTATCCTTATTTTGTTGGTAACATATTTTGCAACGTCCTTTTTTATTGTCTTGTATTTATGTTGTTGAGTAACCTGATATGCTCCTACTGTCACGACAGTAGGAGCATATCAGGAATCATTGAGGCGACATGTCGCCTCAATGATTCCCTTGCCAACATTAAAAAGTAGCAAGCAAAGATTTGATTTGAAAGTCGTAATACTTATTTTTTATACGTTAAGGCGGGTCTACAATTGTCGCAGGTCGCAGAACATAAGCTTGCGCAAAGCACCCAGCTGACAAAAGAACCTTGCTCCATCGCCACGTCGCGGGGTGCTTTGCGCAAGCTTATGTTCTGCGATCGGACCCGTGCGACAATTGTAGACCCGGCTTTACCCGTTTGTTGTACAACTGGTGCGCATTGACTATACTTGATCCAATGAGAAGTTCAACGTAAACTTTCCTGAAACATTAGATGCTTCTTCGTACAGATGTTGAATATAGACATCTGGTCAGATACATCTCTGAAACTTTTGGCTTTGTTATAATTACCAATTGCCTTTGAGTCCAGCTTCATTTCTATCAGGCACTTTTTGTGTGTTTTGTGAAAAGCGTAAACTCCTTTCTTCTCTCGAGAAACTACATATTTCGCCATTTTTAAGTTTAGCGTTTACCTCTTCGATTTTGTCTGTTTTGACTAGATGTTTTTTTCTGTCTTCCAGCTTTTCAGTATAGACTTGTAAACCAGTTGTTAGTGTATAGTGTTATGCCTTCATCAAGATTGGGCTTCATCAATTCCAGGACAACGTTAGTAGCTACAATTATGCAGTCAACTTTATCTTCGCCATAATATATTTTAGCATGATACATGTATCCACCAGTAATACATAATTTGAGGACCTTGATGCCAAACTTATGACTTTTTCCCTTCATGTACTTTCAAAATTTTAGCCGTCCACGAAACGGTACCATCGTTACGTCGATACTCAAATCTTTATCGGGCAAAATAACCGTACCGCTTGAATCCCTTATTCAGTGTGTCAAACATTGCATATTACATAAATTGTCACCTTGTGGGCATAATTCATTTTTAGAAAAATGCAATATTCTTAGCAAAATCTCAAACATATTGCGTGAGATGGCTTTAGATGCATTTAATAAATAAAGATCTGATTTTCGCCAATAATCCGAAAGTGACGGTTTTTGATCCAAACCCATCCAAATCAATACTCCAAGAAATCTACAGATTTACCATTCATTTGAACGTGAAGATGGTCCTATTATACTGCCGTGCTTAATGAAAACGCCGTAACCAACAATTGTGCGATTTTCGTTTTACGGCATTTTCTACTAGAACAATTCATCCTGCGTCTATCCCCGGTACTCAAAAAACCGTATATATATAGATACGGTTTTTTCAGTACCGGGGATAGACGCAGGATGAATTTTTCTAGTAGAAAATGCCGTAAAACAAAAATCGCACAATTGTTGGTTACGGCGTTTTCATTAACCACGGCAGTATAGGACTCCTACAGTATCTTCCGTGATGCCTTTTACAATTGTTTGCTCTGCATAAATATTTGTTTGAGTAACTATTGTATAAAAAAGTTGTTCGTCGATAAATAATTTATAGTATGCAAGCTCATTTTGATTTTTAATTTGAATAGCCCTACTACTTTCCATTCATCATTTATATTATCCGTTATATCCGCTTTATCTTCACCATTAAATACATCTTATTACCCTCTGTTCTTCTCTTCTTATTTTAAGTACCAGCAGCAGAATTACTTGTAACAGAAGGCTTTCTTTTTTTGCGCATAAATACCTATGGGTATAGAATCAAATCAGGATATTGAGGTACGGTAGGCATGAAAAAAGTCACTCGATTGACTTTTTTCATACCTTCAACAGATTCGCTAGAAGATAAATCTTGGGTCTCAGAATTCTTCTTGCCTTTATACGGCGGATCTGTATCTGAAACATATTCCGGTTCTTCCTTACTCATATCCAGCTCGTCCAGGAGTGCATATTTTTTTCGGTAGATATGTTTCACTTACTCTAATATGTACTATGATCCACACATCAAAGTCCCTCCACGTGACTTTGATATTAATAATTAAGGTTAATTTCGATTTATTTTCTAAAAATAATACAATATAATTTGCTTGACACTGAAAGAAAATTAACCTTAATTATTTATATCAAAGTTACGTGGTGGGACTTTGATACTTTGATACAATGTTAAGTTTACATAAAGTTTATTGTCTTATGTGACATATGTTGGATAAGTTGAAAAAAGGAACTCGTGTATGTATTTATACACGGGGCGAAAATGTACAATCCTACGCCGCGTGTATGTTATAGTCACACGGGGGTAGAAGGGGGTAAAATAATAAAAAAAATTGAGCTAATGTATTATAGAAATTGTGGAATATTTTTATTGAGAATTAAAAGCTAAAAACATGGTGGCCCAGCGGACCTTACCTGTAAAAAACTCATGTCAGTTAACGTGTTAAAAAGTATATTTAATTCTTTGTAACTTATTACAAAGATCCCGGGATTTTCGGGATCGTTTTTTACGGGTTTATACGCGTGACCTATTATAGATCACGCGTTCAACACGATTTTCCTCCCATGAAAAATTTTAACAGATTTTAAAAATAAAGGTTAAAAAAACGTACCCGTGTCTCACCGTTTCACGAAATCACGTCATTTAATATTTTTATACAGCCATTCTTATTATTTTAACCTATACAGATTTTTAATTCTCTATTTTGTTATAAATAAATAATAAATTTTACTCAATACAAAAATAATAATTTTAACTTTTTTTAAGTAAAAGAAATTATTTCTGGTTTTAATTTTTATTTTTTTTTAATAAAACAACAGATTTGTATTTATCTTATATTAAATATATGTTGGAAACAAATCTTGATCTTTTAGTTTGACGATTAAACATTGCTTTAGAATCTATAGTGGTATCACAACCTAAAAAAACCACTTGATATATAGGGTGTTTCACATTCGTGGTCCATTGGAAGTTTTAGGGGAACGGAAAATGATATCGATTTAAAATTTAAAAGCGTTTATAATTTAAGTCTATTTTTTTTTAAATATTTTCAACAAAATGCCACTAACGGTGTGACATCAACTTTGTCATTTCAAATAGAACACCCCCAATATTTTTACATTTTTAAATTCTACATAAAATTCTGAGTAAAATTACTATACCACGTCCTATACCTAAAGTGAATAGTTTTCAGATGTTTGCTATTAGGTTTACTGATATGGGGCTAAAATGTTTGGAATCTTAAAACATTGTTTAAAATATTCCATGTCAATTCTTTAACAATTTTCAAAAAATTCCGCGAGAAACCCAGGGCAAATTGGGCTAACTTGAAAAGTTTACTTTTTTATTTTAAATGTAAAACCCGGTATGTTTTTACCTAAGCAAGTAGCAAATTAAAAAAACATTTCGATTAATCTATTATTAATATTAATGTATTAAACATTTAGGCGGATTTAAACGAAAAAGACTGTATAAATAGGTTTTGTAATAATGAATGAATAAATAAATAAAATAAATGTAACTATTACCTAAAGTTAATAATTCAGAGATATTTAACAATTTCTAAAATTTTAAATATTATTTTGTGACGGGTGAGTTGACGGGTGAGTTGACGGTATCTGTGGTTACCACCTAATCTGTCATTGTTCAATTGGTCAATTTTTCAGGTTGTTATAAACAATTTGTTGACTAATTAGGTGTTTTGTAAACAAAATTACTGATAAAAAAGCAGTCAGAAAATTTTTAAAAACATTGACAAGCCAAATGTTCTTAAAATTTAAACATACAAACAGTTTTTGCTAATTTTGAAATCAATAGAGCTATAGAATATCAACTAGATGAAGCACTCATTGGATACAATAAAATATAAAATTTATTTTATGAAATATTTTAATAACAAAAAGAATGCGTAACTGTAACAATTTAATAAACCAACAATTTTTATTACTAATTTATTACTAAATTTTCAAAGTGTCCTCTAAATTTTCTAAGCGTCCTCCATTTACATTTAAGGATTTCTTAATTCTTACTTCTACATATGTAATCTAAATTAGATTATCTAATATTAGACGTTGCTCTTCTTGACTATTCTAATATTAGAAATGGTTAAATATCTCTAAAATTATTAAATTTATTTATAGGTAATAATAATATTTTTAATTTATTATTTGATTATGTAAAAACATACAGGGTGTTTCATTTAAAATAAAAAAGTTATTATCGTTTCAAGTTAGCCTAATTTGCCCTGGGTTTTCTTGGGTAATTTGTTAAAAAATGTTAAACAATTGACATGGCATCTTTTAAACAATGTTTTAAGATTCCAAAAATTCCACCCCCATTTCCGGAAAGCTAAAAGCAAAAAATATATAGGCTATTTTTGATTGACTCGCATCCCAGATAGCACAAGAGGTACCCAGGACGTCCATTTCGGGTCCCACATATATGTGGGTCCTATAGGTCCGAACGTCCTAGACCTATATCGGAAGTTTTGGGTACGTCCAGTCTCTTACTTATTTGGGAAAATTATAGCGGATATACTGGGTACGTCCCAAGGATGTAATTGAAGCATTGTATTTCCAAAGGGTCTAAGTCTAAATAATATATTATCATTTAAAAATAGTTTGTGTCATGCAGAATGACTTAATAGTATATTCTGTAACAAGTTTGGAATACAGCATATCCGCTCGAGTGAAGAGTTTGTCACATGAGCCGAAGGCGAGTTTGACGGTTTCAGGAGAGTGGAAAATGCAATTCCAAACGTGTTTCAGACATTTCAACATTTACATGTGCAAAATATTTGTTTTTCATTGATAACTCACAATGTTTGTAACTTAGACCCCCCAGACAGCATCCAATTCAGAAAGATTTCTGTACGAAGTCTGTTGAAAAACATCTTACTGAGGTCACAATATGACATCTTAGAGAAATCATTTTTAGGAGCTCAAGATTAAGAGTTCTTGATGAATTCATAAATAAGAAGTAAATTTTTTAACATCTTTAAGTATCTTTTTTTATGACCTCTTATTGGAATCAAAATTAGAAGCTACTAAGGGTAGGTACCATAGATAAGACTTTATTTATATGATATCTTACAGTATTCTCTTTTCTTACTTCTTACTGAAATCATATTATTAACCACGGTCTTTTATAAGACCCTGTTATTAACTCTTTAAGACGTCAACATGGAGACGTCACATTTATGACATTTTAATGCGATTCTTTCTTCTCACCGCTGTAACTGCTTGTGTTTGATATAAGAAGCGGCGAAGTAAATTTAGACTCTAAATCATAGATGACCGTGCTCCATACCAAACGGTCTTAGACCTAGGTAAACGGCTACCCGATACTGACTAGCTCCAAAAGAAGAAAACAAAGCGAATACGAGCGAATACGAGCAAATTATTAAAATGATTTTAATAAAATCCATTTAACAAATTAATAAAATATGACGTCATATTGCTGTCTGGGCCTTTGGGAATACCACTCTTCAATTCTGTAAAGCTTGTCCATTAGTCCCCAATAAAGCATTTCAGGATGGCCAGACGATGTCTTACTTAGGACGTTCTGGGGACCGACGATTTGGTAACATCGGATGTCCCTGGAACGTCCTGGGGAAGGTTCAGGACCTGATTCGGACCTACTCGGAACTTACTAATGTCTGATACAAGATATACTCAGGACGTTTTTAGTACTTCTTTGTGCTATCTGGGATTTGTCAAATTTTAACGAAAAAAATTAATAACTCGATAACTATTTACTTTAGGTATAGGATATGGTACAGTAATTTTACTCAGAATTTTATGTAGAATTTAAAAATGTAAAAATATATCGGGTGTTCTATTTAAAATAACAAAGTTGATGAAACTTCCGGTCAAACCGGAAGTGGCAATTTGTTTAAAATATTTTAGAAAAATGGGCTTAATTTGATTATAAACGCTTTAAAAATTTCAAATGGATATCTCTTGCCGTTCCTCAGAAACTTTCAATGGACCACGAACGTGAAACACCCGTATTTCTTAAATAGGCAACACCCTGTAGACAATTAAAATAATTTTAAAATAAATAAATAATTTTAATAGTTGTCCATTTATTCAGTGAATAAATTTTTCATAAAAAGATACAGTCCAGCCGTTATCGAATACCGTGGATAACATTTTATTGGATCCCACTTAAAAAAAAAATGACGATCTGAAGCCGAGACATGGGTATCATTTTTTAAAATCTATAGGAGTTTTTCATGGGAGGGAAAAAAATCAACTAATTCCCAAAAAACAGCTAGACTAAAATAATGTCCAAACCATTTTCGAAAAACATACAAACCCCAAAATCGGTATTAAAAGTGTTATAATAAGTACTAAAAAAATCCCCACACTAACCTGATCTGCTTCAGTGACCACATCATCTAAATTATTATCGAATCTAAACACAACCAGGTTAGTTTCATCAAGTATAAGTATCTTTACGTTAGTGGAGTCTTCCCATGGTCCGTTACCTAAAAAATTTAATATGTACGTATATCAAAGTAGGTACTTAGGTACTTAAAATATTTTAATTAAATTTACCATAATCATCTTGTTGATCCTTTACGACAACGTCGAATAAGAAGTAACCTTGCATATTGGCGGCTACATCAAAATTTTGATTGATATTGCCAGTTTTGGAATCTAATTTAAAAGGCTCTAAAATATTATCAATATGTGTTCCGTTAGTTACGATTTTACCCATAGTATAGGACAAAGTATTGGCAATAGTATCTATGTCCATGGCCTATAACAAAGTGGAGTTTGTAATAATTTTAAAACATCATTATTTATTTGCTTACGTTTAGTTGCACCACCGTCGTCGATTTGATTTTATACACAACAGCTTTTAAAAATTTTTTTGTTGGGAACTTTGGTCTAAAATTATTTATGTCAATAACCTAAAATTTTAAAATACAAAATTGGTTATAATAAGTTAATAGGATACACAACACTTTTGAGCTACAGTTTTAGAGATTATAAATTACTTTGATTGATTGCCTTCGAAGCTATTTCCACTAGCAACAAGTATAAATGTTTTTTTCAAGTTTATTATAAATAAGCTTTATAATAGGTAATTTTCATAAGTAATACACTTTTAAGACTATTTGAGTATTAGTTTGAGAACGTATGGCTGGCCCTATCGGCATCGCCTTAAGTGTATGTCATACACTTAAGGCGATGCCGATAGGGCCAGCCATACGTTCTGTATGATCTTCCAGAGTTATTTTACCATCTTTCAGTTCTTATACGTATCTCGCAACTGCACAGCATTACCGGTGTTTAATAAATCCGAATTTTCACCCCGGCTGGTAAATCTCTCTTAGAAGGTCGTGGATGAAAGTTTCGATGGTTAAGGTCACTCCCGGAATTTTATCGCCGGGCCGTGGCATACGCCCTATTTAGGCTAGTGGAGTGTGAGACAAGGAGGGAAAACATTTTGGTTTTTGGGGGACATTGGACTGACCCAAAACTAAGTACTAAACCAGGGATTTAGTAGTACCCCCATTCAATTGGGGTTCACGAATGGGGTTTGGTTGGTTAGTTCGCTGCTTGTACCTATCCTTGCTGGTCTTGTAGTACTGTGCTGCAAGTTCGGAAACTGCTGCGCGCAAATTGTTTGCCCCACTGTGCGAAACCATTTCTTCAGTCTAGGGTCGAGAACTATCAATAGATAGTTTTTGGTAGTCGGCAATGTGACTACTGATAGTTATCGATGTTTTTAATGGTTTTTGATTGATTTTTTAATGTTTATTACCGAAGTGTGAAAACAATAAAGGAAGTTGATTTACAAATTATTTGTCTCACTATGCGTAAACCCCAGCTTTTTACTTTAGTAAATATTCGTGGTGATGTGTTGACTTTTTATTAAGGCTGTCAATTCCTGAAGTAATAACAAGTTTGGACCGGTTTCGGTTTTAACCGGGTTATTTAAATTATTATAACGGGTTCGGATATCCGGTTAACCGGTCCTATTAACCAGTTAACCAGTCCGATTATCAGGTTAACCGATCTGATCAAACCGAGCCGGTCGAGCCGGACCGGTGAGACCGGATCGGCGGTTTAACCGTAACCATGACCAGTTAAACTTGTCACCGGTTTATCCGTAACTGGTTTAACTTTAACCGTCACCGGTTTAATCGTAGCAAATTCTTTGTTCTTAATAAAAACTTTTTATTAAAAAGGGATCACTTCACTAACCCTTTCACCTTTCTTTACCCGTAACAACCAGGCAGTTCATGCTTGAATTTTTTTAAATAGATACTTTCTCAATAAGAATGAAATTAGAATAATAAAAATACCACCAATTTTACTTTTGTTAAAATTTATTTTAAATAAAAAAGGACCTACTTACTTACTTCCCACTACAGTGGCTAAAACTAAAAACTAAAAAAAAAGTATAAAAACATTTCAAAATAAATTATATTTAAGTGATAAAAAATAATAACAAAACTCCCTATTTTTATCATTGAGTTTTGAAGTAAAAAAACCAATTTATTAGGAGCAAGCAGTTTCTTTTCGCCGAAACTATGTTGCCTGCACTGGGAAACATGAAAAAACTATAGATTTTCTTATTTATTTTTGAATGTTTATATTTGTTTGTATTTTTTTAATAAAAATACTTTTGTTTTACTAATTTTTAAATGTTTAAGTTTTAAAAACATCAATGTTTATCAATATTGATTTTTTCTCTATGACATCGATATTGTGTTTTCAATATATCATTTGATGTCAATATCGATGTTTTAAGAAATTTGCGCATCCCTAATAAGAGCTCAAACTATGACTCGTTTGATTATGACTATTAAACTGGCGACAGCTTTAATCGGTCACGATTACGGTTAAACCGGTTACGTTCTTCTACGGTTTTTGGTCCTACGAAACCGGTTGACCATACGGTTACCAGCCTTAGTTTTTATTATTGTTGTTTAGGTGACTGAACTTATTGTTTATTGCGTTTCCGCCGACTGGTTGTTTGTTTGGTTAGGGGCTAGATTGGTGTTGTACCGATTTATAGTAGGAATAATTACATGCTGTCCTGTGAGAATTCTCTATCTCTTGCTTGACTGTTTTGTTTTTCTGGTTTATATGCCTTAAAGATGCTTAACCTCTTCGAGGGGGTTGGCAGAAAATACAAGATTACCTCGTTAGTAGAGAATGCAAGTTAAATTATGCGGATTAAAGCTATTTAACTTATCTTTTATTTCTGCGAACCACTTGACCATTTCTTTGGTTCCTTCGGGAGACTGGTATATTGAATTCACTTGCCCAGGTAGTGTACTGATTTCGTACATTGTTTAGTTGCTGAGAGGTTGTCTTACAGAATCAGCAAAACGCTAATACAGTAGCAAAGTGCTATAGCACGGGATACGGGGACCGTGATTAACCTGCACAGGTAGTGGCTTTAGGATTTGATTTCGCACTGTTTACACTTAAAATTGCCTAACAAACTACGTTGTGTGCGCTTTACTCTTTAGAAGCTATCGTATGCGCGTCCGCACCCTACGATGAGTCAAGTCGTACTGTATAACAATTTTAAGAGTATATCCCAAAATAATTCATATTATTACTATTAGAGGTGGGAAGTTCGATTATTTTTAGTGAATTGATTCTTTCAATTCATTCTTTTAAAATGATTCGTTCATTAAGATTCGTTCGCGATTGATTCACTTTCTGGATCCGGAAAAGATAAGTCATTGAATTGTTTGTGATGAGTCATCACTGATGACCGTTCATTGTGGTGATGACTTGGTTGTATCGTTAAGTGAAGTAGGATGTTCCGCATTGGCATTAACTCAGTGCCCGTAACTAAATCGAGTATGTATGTATACATATATAATACATACATATGTATGTATATAGTAAAGACTATTCGACTTCGAATTTTATCCTCTATCCACCCCTTTTCTGCTGTCCTTGACTTTTGAGACACCCTGTATATAATATTATGTACTTTTATATGTCTTTAATAAGATTTATTTGTATTTAATAAAATGTGTTTATCTTAATATGAATAATCTTTTTTTTGTTCTCATGCATGCAATAATATTGAACCTTAATAGGTATTGTAGATTGAGGATTCTACATTCTCAGAAACTTTTCGAAATTATTAGGCATTTAATAGTTTCCAGAAATTTAGGACTCATGTAAGAACAGACCTTATAAGGTCAATATTGTATATTATCAATTAATTTACAATTGTCAAAGAAGTTCTTGATCACATCGTGACCCAACAGGGAGAACACACGCGTGAGCAAACATTGCCTACGTGATCTTACTGTGGTCTCACTATGACTTCATAGCCTCACGCATGCACGTGCAAGCGTATTAATCAGCAATGACTTCCGCATCCTGAAATGACGTATGAAATCACGTCTGAGCATAAAATCGCATGCGTGATTTCATTGTGCTCTCCCTATGACTTCAAAATGTTATTTGGGTAGTTGGATATGTGCGTCTGTAATGGCATAGCTGAACATTGATTTGATTTTTATAATATTAATCTTTTAGAGTGGGGATCTGATCAGTAACGAATAATGACTAGCTAGTCGAGTGTGTTAAAGAAGTCATTTAGAAAATGTCAGGACTGAACCTATAGTATTTACCTATCTATGACGTTTGTAGGGTTTTCTTGAATGGCCCGGTGGTCGTACTATACATAGCCGAATCTTAAACGTGTTTCGGGCCGGACGCGGCCAAACGTATTCGGTCCGTATGCGGGCCGGCTAACTTTTGCTTACTGGGTATCTACTGCCTCGGCAGTTAAATGTGAGCTTTCTCCGCCTAGTCTATAATGTACAATTTTTTTCAAGCGTACCTACAATAATTTTCATATTATAACACTCATAAGTCTGTATAGAAAGTCTTCATGTTAATACTAGTACTCCCTGAAGAAATAAAGCTAAAATGGTATCATGTCAGTTAAACCTAATCTAACCTAAACCTAACCTAAATATAGGACAGAATGTTAAGAAATTATTTAAATAAATGCTTAAAAAAAAGTCGGTGAATAAAACCCGGCAGCAAAAGCTTCTTAATCGCCTCGCACACAATCTACTCGGCTATCGCCTCGGCAGTCACGAGCTAAAGTTAACAACAGTGGCTTTTTGGCACTTTAGTGTACGTGTAAGTTGGCCTTATTATACATTTCGAAAAAGTGAGGTTAAATTCGTCAGATGTCTATATTTAAGAATTAAAATTGGCTTTAAATTCTTATTTCTACTAACGGGACAAAAAGAAACAAGACAAAATGTTTTATAAATATTTTTGAAGATATGTTGTTCCTATAAAAATAATTTTATGATATTTAACTATTATTACTTAAGTTTATTGCTGTGAACTATCATAAAATTATTATTATAGGAACAACAAAAATTTTCATAAAATATTTTGTTCTCTTTTTGTTGATCCCGTTAGTAATCATGAAATTAGTCATTTTTAATTCATTTTTAGAGAGTAAATTAATAATTATTGTTAACCTCCAATTTGAAGTTTATGTTAAAAGTCGCAAATACACTAAATTTAATCACGGTGATTAAATTTACCTCGGTTTGCACCATCCAATTTATAGCTAATCCTCTTTTAACTTTGATTAGGTGAAAAACGCGGAAAATGTGTGTTGGTATGTTGGTTATAACCCTATATTTTGCTGATAGGTTCGTACCACTGTAGCGTTCAACTTGTCATCTGTAGAATAATTATTTAAACTTTAAATTTTAAAGGGTATATCGTTTTGCCTAAAGCGGTGTGCAAAATAATGGACATTAAGAAAAAACAGTTGAATAAATAAATTTTGTTAATCAATAATTTAATTATTCGGTAGGTACCTTAATATTAAAAATTAGCAAAATACTTGTTTTAAATTGTCTTCTGGTCAGCGTACCGGCGGCGATATCATTTT